TGACTAACCATTGGAAAGAATACCTGATAAGGTACATCACCCATGGGCAACCCTGATACCTACATCATCTCGTGAAAAGAGATCCCCAATTCTCCATTCTTGGTTAGAAAAGTGTTGGTGTCCGGATTATAAATCTCGAACAAAGTAAAGAAGTGGTCGACATTAATCTGCAGCCCGTGCATACTGGCACATATGGGAAGGGATAATCCTATTTCAGCTAATTCACGTCCCCAATGGTTCAACACATAATTGGTCATCCTTGTCCACTATTTATCCCCAGAATAATGGACCCAGTCGTAACACCTAAATTTTTTTGATTGGAAGCTCTCTCCCCAATCTAGCCAAACGGCCTTTCACTGTATTAGCCCTGAGCATTAACTCATTTTTAGGCAAGTTATCTTGGCCTAAAACGCCGGGGTGAAGCCCTCTTATAGAAGTTCTGTCACTTGATCCTGTAGTAGTAGTATCCTTCCCAATGAACTCGCAGTGGACACGCTCGTGATCCTCTGTTAATTTCCAGAATATTTCACGGCCTATAGCTAAATTCCTAAACTGCAAGAGAGAGTGGTGACAAGGAATTGATAGAAAATACATGAATACTGAACCACTCCCATACAACTATTACGTTGGTTCACAAGAAAGAATCTCCGGGTCCTTTACAGAGGCTCCAAATAAATACTGTGGCTGACTTAGAGACTGAGTAGGATCTTGGTCCCGAATCAGAGGCACGTCGGTAATCAGCCGACGTGGAATACGGTGATCTCGTCATCGTATAAGCTCGGAGACGTCCTCCGGACAGTCAGAGCTAAATTGAGGGACTTCTCCAATCAGAGGAATCCCTTCATAATGAGAGTGCATAGCTCTACTCTGACCAGTGACTTCTTTATCAGGGAAGGTTATGGAAGAAAAATGGACTGAAAAGAAAAATATATATATTTGGTTGGAATTCATTTAAAAAGGACATTCTAAAGCTAAAGTAAGGGGTAGAATTCATCTCGTGAATCCACGAGATAGAGTCACCACCTTACAATAGGCGAGACGATTTCAATTGTTACACGCATAAAGGATAATATACATCGTCGTGTGCGAACACTACAGCGACATATTTGACCTTTTAAAATGTAGAACAATATAAAATCGTCCCTTTGCCTTTAGACGTGTTTTGTCCAAGCAAAACAATATCTTTTAGCGTCGATCCCCACGAAGGAGGATACCGACTCTTCTCGAATGCCTCTCAAAGGATGGCAAACGAGAACCTATACGCAGGATTTACAAAATACTAACTTGAAATCAGTAAAAAGCTAAAAAGATGTACCTCCATACGAAGCAACAGTAGGATCCACTCTCTCGGCTGCATAAGAGGCAGATCTACCCCTAGAGATGCAAGATCTTTTCGGTGACATGGTACAAATCTGTTTTTTTTTTTTTGTAAGAAATCATACAAAAAAAAAAGGTTAGGGTTTTTGAGGTTAAAGCCTACAAAGTCACAGAAAATACCCAAAATGCAACCACGGGTTCGCTTTTTACGTGAAATCAAAGAGAAGGAAGAACTCCAAAGAAGAAGAAGGCTCGAATCCAAGGGAAGTGCTAAAACCCTAGAATCCCTTTTGAGCAAATCCAACTAAATCTAGACAAAAAGGAATGTGAATGGGTTAAAGATCAACTTGGGAGGAGATTTGAAGAGGTTTTGAACTTAGAGGAGGCAGAATAATGAGTTGAAAAGCCCAAGGATCATGTTTTATAACCCGCTGGAAACCTCTCGTATGCCCGCTTCCGAGATAGTCGTGATTGTCTCGCGCTTCCGAGACAGTCACAACTATCTCGGAAGAAGGAGTAATCCCCATGCTTTCGAGACAGTTGCAATTGTCTTGGAAGAAGGATCAACACTACATGTTTCCGAGATAGTTACAACTGTCTTGGAAGAATGGCATACCCAACATGTTGTCGTTCACATCCGTGAAGCATTCTTGATCCATTTTTAGTATATTTGCATACTCCGATGAGTATATGAGTATAAACTGCATCTCTTTGAACCTCCCAACGGGTACACGAGGTTAAACTGTTTCCCAAAAACTCTAAGGAGTACATGAGTATAAACTGATTCTCCATGCTCCAACGCCTCAAGAGCCTAAACTGTATAGACTCCACTTAACGTATGAGTATAAGCTGTATTTCTATTGCAATGAAGGTCGACACCAGTAAAATCGTCGATAACTTTGCCGAAACAATGTGCAAATCAATTCCAAGTCGAAGGATAATCCTTGAGAGTTCATTCAAAATTTAGATACAAACTTCCAAATAGGATGAGTAGTTCATCGTCGATTCAATGGCACGAGCTAAATTCAGAAATCAACACAATAACTTTAGTTCAAAATTTCGACAACGGTCAAGCGATAAACGCAGCACCGGGAAAATTTCAGCTATCCGAAAAAAAATTGAATAGACTGAAATATGGAGAAGTCAACGAATCGAAGTAGGAGTGTATCATATCCAAAGTATTCCAGACTCCTCTATAAAAGATTGAGGCTGAAACACTTTGGAGGGGGTATCTGTAGGCGTCAAAAAGTACCTATAGATTATCATACGTAGCTCAAGATAGAGAGAAGGCGATAAACATTATCATCCGAGTTGCAGAGGATCATTCAAAGCTAAAGATCAACTAAAGAATGCACAAGAAGCACACCACACAAGTTTCAAGGCGGAAAATATGTCTCAAAAGCATAAGACGAACTCACAGTTTCTGAGACAGTTACAACTGTCTCAGAAACTACGAGGAAGCCTATAGCTTCCGAGATACTTTAACTGTCTCAGAAGCGTGAAAGGAATCCATAGTTTCCGAGACAGTTGTAACTGTCTCGGAAACTATGAGGAAGACTATAGCTTCCGAGACACTTACAACTGTCTCAGAAGCTAAGGTGATACAGATGACGGTTTTCTTGAGATTCGCGCATACACGTGGCTCCATAACTGTCAGAGATCGTGTGTGAACGTGGCGAGGATGTTACAAGCGGAACTTACGTCAATAACTGTCAAAATAAGGGCATTAAAACGTGTTTAAAGTAGTTATAAAAGGACTAAAATGAAGCATGCTTCCGAGACAGTTGTAACTGTCTCGAAAATGAAAAGCCAACCACGCTTCCGAGACAGTTACAACTGTCTCGGAAATGGAAGTTTCCCGACGCGACTTCTTTTCAACTTTTATCTTCAGTTACGGTCCTCAGGGGCTATAAGTACTCCCAGGACCATTACTGATGAGGACGGAGTATTTTGGAGCAGATTAAGCAAAGAGACTTGAGCAATTTGGTAGATTCCAAGCAAGAAAGAGAGAGTCTTCATCACATGCAAGCCTTTTCCAGAGTTCTTGTGATTCCTTAAGATCTAAGCTTTGCCTTGATCTTCAAAAGAGTGTTTATCTTAGATTGATAAGATATTCACTTCCTTTTCTTACTTCTAAATGAAGCAAGAATTCCCAAATAGCCTTCACGGTTCAATTTGAATCTGTGATTCGGTGGTCCACTGGCTAAAGCACCCTCGGCATAGGCAAAGATCCCACGCAAGCAACGAACGATAAACGTTCTTGCGTGTGTTTCTAAGGAACATTATAATTTGGTTTTTTGTTGTAAAGAATGGTTTTACAAAGAACGAAACTTGCTCTTTTGTATTCATTGTAATCGATAAACAATTATAATGAATTCTACAACAAAACTTGTTCCTGACGCAAACATGAACCTTCTGATTCAGACGATTTTTAACCTTCTCGGATAGAATCATGCTAACAATCTCGCTCAACTTTAACTTTTCCTTCCCCGCCGAATTGCTAATTACGGTCACACAACCTGCCTAACTATCCGGTAACTGCGATAGAATCAATAGGGCATGCACTTCGTCATCAAACGTGATGTCTACGGAGATAAGTTGATCAACAATCGTGTTGAACTCGCTGAGGTATATCGTGAAGGAGCGTCATTCTGCCATCTTGAGGTTGAAGAGTGTTTTGACGAGATGCCCCTTGTTTGCGACTGACAATTGCTCGTACATCTTTGTGAACGTTTCTATAAGTCCCATCGTCGTCTTCTCCTTCAATATATTGTGTGCGACTGTCTTGGAGAGCGACAATGAGATTTGCCCTAGAGCCTTTCTATCCAGTATCTCCCACTCCTCGTCTGGTTCCTCTTTCTTCTTTCCTTTAGCTTTGCCCATCAACGAACAGTACAAATGCTTCTGGTACAGATGGTCATCCATCTACAACTTCCAGTAGGTGAAGTCTGAGCCGTCAAACTTCTCGATCTTAGATTTGCTTTTCTCTATCATGGCTCTCACACAAACCTTCTGAACGAAGCTCTGATACCAGTTGTTGGGGATTCGAAACAATCAAATCGAATCTGTACCCTTCCGGACCTTGTGTTTAAGAGTAAAAAAGTAAGGAAAACACCATAAATAAAAGATAAAACTTTTAGGAAAGTAAACAAGAAAGAACACATCAGATTTAACGAGTTTCGGAAACGTGTCTACGCCCTTAGGAACCACACCACACAATTCTTTGATTAATTTGAAGAAGATTACAATGCCCCACAAATAGGCTTTTATCTCTCTGAGATCTCTCTCAAATAGCCGTCAAAACCCACTTTTTTTTATGTGTTCACATAAACCCTAAAAACTTTTAGGTATATATATGATCCCAACCCAAAACAGTTTCCCAAACAGTTTAGGAAACTAGAAATCTCGTTCCCGGTCGACTGGGCAATGTGCTTCGGTCGACCAACCAGAATGTCAATTTCGATAGGGTTTTGGTGCATGTTTATGATCTACCGGATCAAGACCCTCGATCGACCGACCAGAGCTTTGGTTTCTGCCTGCCTGTTTTCCTACAGGCTTCGCGATCGACCAGATCTCCTTCGTCGGTCAACCGGCCAACGACTAGATTGTTTTCTTCGTCTTTTTGATTCATCTTTGGGTCTACACGCTTAGACTAACATGACAATCGTGCATTGAGAAGGCAATTCAACTGAAATTGTAGTTTTATTAACCTAAGCTACATCCAAAACAACATATTCACACCCTTAACTATTTACAGTTGCAAGAACATTACACAGCAAGAAATCATAGACCCAAACTCAATTAAAGCACTACGCATAAACCCACATATAGTACCCTCTAAAAAACTGAACAACTCAGAATCATGACTAAATCATTAGGCAGCAACGAATCCTAAACCCTCTTTCCTCTCTCCGAAGAAATCAGCCACTATGGAACCAACATCCTCCAGCCCAACGCCAATGCACAGTGGACCCTTGCCAGCCTTCAATGGCCCATCTCCGGCGACAACTGCGGGCCGCTGATTCATGAACCGAACATTAGGCCCTTCGCGGCACTTGCCCATGCACTTGCATCCCACCACAGCGCCCTCAATCCCCACCTTCTTCTCAAACTCCGCCATCAATTCCATCGCCCCCGATTTCTTGCATTTTCCTCCCATGCACACCTCAATCTGGCTACTGCAGCGCTCTGGTGGTACTGTTATCGGGTTTTCGATTTTGTCAATTTGTTGTAATGCTGGTGATGGTGCTGTAATTGGATCTAAGGGTGCAGTTTTGGGAGTTCGGATCTTAACGGCCTATCGCTTGATTCAGATGAACTTGATGAGCTTTCGTCTGCTCGATTTTTCACCTTCGCCGCCATCTTTGCAGCCTTCATTGCAGCCTTCTCTTGTTTTCTTTTGATCTTCATCTCTTTTGCTTCGGCTCGGAGTTTGGTCAGCTGGGCTAGCAGAACCTCTGCTGCTTCCTGTATTTGCAATCCAAGGTCAGCAACAAATCCCAATAGGAATCATAATTTGATAAAATCAGGAACTTAGAACAAAATATTTTCTAATATGGATTCTTCGCCATGAATCAGTACAAGCTCTGTTAGAATCACAATCAATCCTCAAAATTAAACAAAGTCGGTACGCATTTGAATTCAAGTTGAACCACGCAAATTATTGAGAAAGCAGAAAATTTAACAAATTAACCAAACCAAACAAAAAGAAATAAACTTCAAAAACTCACCGACATAATTTGATCTTTGACTTCACCAGCAATCCCCTCGCCCCTCTCAACACCAAAACCCATGGAATACAAAGCAGAGAGATCCTTCTCCAATCCCTTCACCAGCTTCATCTTCCTCTTCTCCTCCTTTTTCAACCCACACCTCGACGTGGACGATGCGTAATACCGTAGATGCCCCTGATCTTTGAACCCATCGCCCATCTTCACACTCATCGGCCGATCCTTCACCGACATCAGACCCCCATCGCCGGTGGGCCTCCGTAGAGGCACCCGGACTCGCTGGAGAAGCGCGCCGCTGCCTGTGGCCTCCATCGGATGAGGGTTTCTAGAGAGAGAGAGAGAGTTTCTGGAGAGAAAAAGCGGAGAACATCCGGGAGAATAAAATATGGAGGTGGCTTTAAAAGAGAGGAAGGAGGAAACGGGGTTGCGTACGTGGAAGGTTCTGAGCGGTTGGATTTTGAGTCGTGGCAAGTTTGAGTTTGCATGCGCCGTGGTTGTGCCTTCGCGCCTTGGGCACGCGCCGCGGGATAACGGACGGTCAGATTTGGCGCTGGTTGGTCTGGGCGGTTGCGATTTAGATGCGGTGGCGACACGTCGGATTTCTTTCTGTCCACGTAGGATGGTGAGGTTTCTAAAAGGATCGTGTAATTTGGGATTTAGAGATGAGACTTCTAAGTTTAGAAGAGCTCTGGATTAAATTATGTGATTGGACCGCCTCAGTTTAAGTGGGCCGGGTTCGAATATTACTTGGAATATTATTTGAACTCTGACTCCTGGTCAACAAAGGATGACTGATTCCTTAATCTTCCTTTGCGAGTTCTTGGAGGGTTCTCATCCTAAATTTCGTGGTTATTTCACATCATATAAAATGCAGGGTACGCTTCAAGCTTTACCCAACACTTAAACTTAGAGATGATTGATTCCTAAATTTCGTACAAAAGGTGGATGGTGTCGGCTTGGACCGTCTATTTTACAAAAAGTAACAGCAGCATTTCGTATGTTGACGTATGGTGCACCGGCAGATAATACTGACGAATATGTAAGGATTGGTGAGTCAACTGTAATTGAATGTTTAAAGAGATTTTGCATATCAATTGTAGAAGTGTATGTAGCTGAATATCTTAGATCCCCCAATACTGACGATGTTGCAAGACTGTTACAAAAAGGCGAAGAGCGAGGTTTTCTTAGGAATGTTGGGAAGTCTAGACTGTATGCATTGGGAATGGGAAAACTGTCCAACAGCATGCGTGAGACAATACTCAGGACGTCACGGAGGTCCAACCATTATTCTTGAGGTAGTAGCATCGTATGACCTATAGATATGACATGCATTCTTTGGCTTGCCAGGTTCTAATTACTCTTCCTGCTCATTATACAATTAAAGGAAAGAATTATGATGTCAGTTATTATTTAGCTGATGGCATATATCTGAAATGGCCAACGCTTGTTCAAACCATTTCCAAATCCGAAGATAAAAAGAAACAATATTTTTGCAATGATGCAAGAAGCTTGTCGAAAAGATGTGGAACGAGCGTTTGGTGTTCTCCAGTCAAGATCTGCTATAATCAAGGGCCCTGCACGTTTTTGGGATAAACGAACTTTGCATGATATTATGACCACTTGCATAATAATGCACAACATGATTATTGAGGATGAACGTGATGAGCAATAAGATATTGTCATTTCTACTCCACCATCAATTTCAAATCTTGAAGACATAGTGATGAACTATGTTGAACGGTTCCAACAATTCCTGACCTGGTATAAGAAATTCAAATACAAAGAAGCATACTTCGCACTTCGAAATGCATTAATTAAACATTTGTGGGAGAGACATGAAAATGAAGTGATGTAACTTTTTTTTTATTAAAGTTTCGATGTAATTCTAAGTTAATGTGTTTTATTTCAGTTTAATTTTCAATGTATTATCATTTCTAATTACTTGTTTTGCAATTTTATATTTTGATATTAGTCTCATTTTGAAGATATCGACGAGACATTTCCAATGATATTATTTTCATTAAAAAATATTTAATATATTAATATATATATATATACAAATTTTAAGTAAGTAAAAATAATAATAGGACACAATTAGAATAATGAATTGTTTATAAATACTTAAAAGGGTAAAGTGGGTATTTGGTAGGGGTGAGCACGGTTCGGTTCGGGTCGGTTTTTACCAAAATTTGAACAACCGAACCGAACCACTTATAATTCAAAACCGAACCGAACCGTTGCAAATCGGTTCGGTGCGGTTCGGTTCGGTTTGTTCGGTTCTAACTTTCATCAAGTATAACAATCAAAAGCACAAATATTACTTGTCCCAAGAGATAATTTGTATATATTTGTTTTCATATGCGCCCAAATGCAAACCTCCGAGTCGTCGGAGGACTTGGACTTCTTGATGGAGTTGAAGGAGAACTCCTAACGCTCGTCGCCGAAGGGGCCGCCACGCTTGCGGGAGGGGGGGGGGGGGGTGGGATGGGCATTTCGGGAAGAGGAGGTGAGAGTAAGGGGTCTTGGAAGAAGAGAGAGAGCGGGAGAGAGGGATTGAGGCCGAGGGAAATGGGAAATTGGGAATGAGTAGCGGCGGCTGTGATTTGGGAATGAGAGGAAATGGATGATAGGTTGAGGGTTTGGGACAGGTCGGGTAAACACAAACGAGTTTGAAAGTTTTGGGAATATATTCGGTCGGTTCGGGTCGGTTCGGTTTGAAAAGTTGTCAACCCGACCCGAACCGTCTTACTCTTAAAACCGTTTTTTTCGGGTCGGTTCGGATCGGTTCGGTCGGTTTTTTCGGTTTGAACCGAACCATGCTCAGCCCTAGTATTTGGGAACAATTGCAGTCGGCTGCAAAATGGGACTTCAGGCGGCATATTTGTAGCCAAAATTGGATTTTATGCAGTTGGCTGCATAATTTGGGGTACGATTGGAGTGCGAACCGACTCCAAAATAGAGTTTTGGAGAACAGTTGGAGAAGCTCTTAGGAATCGTCAAATAATTAATTGTATTTGAATAATAAGACTATAATAAACAAAAGAGAGGGCATGATATAATCTGTGTTAGTTTAGAGTAGAGAAGGGGAAGGAAAGAGAAGCTATATAACTAATATCTCTCCTTGAAGAAATAGTACATCTGAATATTTTTTACCTCTCTAAAGACCATATAGAAATATTGAGAATCACTTAATATTAATCTCTCCCTTGCCATTCTGTCCACTTCAGAAGAGTTAAGAAAGTGAGTGTATATTAGTCATGTAGACACCCGTAAGCAATGTTTTTTTCTTTGAATAAAAATAGGGCAGATTGCCCTGTCATATATATATAAACCAGAATGTAAGCTTTTACAAAAGATATCTGATTGTGATTTGGCCAGAGACTCTGAGATGGAGGAATGAAACCAAATCATCAAAAGATGTCTCAGAAATAAGAAAAAAACAAAACATCGTGCCCAAAGAAGACAACTAGATATAACCAGTCTTCCTCGCGATCCCCTGGGACCTGAATCCTCATAACCAAAACCAAAACATCTGCAAAGCCACTACCCTTGAGGACCTAGAAATCCACCACTGTCTGCACTTGACTCTGCAATATCAGGTAGCCCTGAGCTGGATATGAACTTTTTCAACTTGATAGCTTTCTTAGAGGAGGAGGCACATGTCCAGAAAAGAAGAAAGTGAACCGCCTTGTTGATGATTTGCTGAGGCGTGGTAGACAGGTTAGAGAAGATGAAATCATTCCTAGCTTTCCAAAGGACCCAACAAACAGTGGGGAAGCTAAAGCCCCATAACAGCCGAATAGGAGCTAGGATGGATGAGTCTGAGTAGATAAAGAGACAATGATTTATGTTGGTGGGGAGAGATACAATACTGATTTTCGAAAACCAGGGAACCTAGATTTGCTTGGCGAAATGGCACGTGAGGAAAAGGTGGTCATGGGACTCTTGTTCATTACAAAAGGAACAGGTAGAGTTTGCCAGCCAACCCTGAGCTGCTAATCTATCCTTTGTTTTTAATCTGCTCTGGATAAGAAGCCAAGAAAACATCTGAACTTTGCTAGGCAGCAGCTTATTCCATACTATAGAGTTGTATGGAAAACGATGACCTCTATCCGTGATGAATTTATACATGGATGTTCAACCGACCGACGAACGTCGTTTTGCTCAATAATCAACGACATCCTCACAGGAAGAAGACTTTAGCAGATGAATACCTTGGAGTCACTTCTAACATGGTTGGCAGAGGAAGATCATCAAACCTTAGATCTAACGAGCCAGAGACAGATCGTTCTCCAAGCGTCAGAGAAATCACTAACGAGTTTGAAGGAATCTACCAACGTACTCGGACTCGAACAGGAGCCATTCCCCCTATCAACTATCGGAGTTTGGCCAGAGAAACTAATTCCGATGACGAACACTCAGCCATTGCAGAGTCCCAGTCATCAAGCTCTTTTGTTGAACATAAGAGCTTCGCTTATATGACGGGAAACCATGAAGATCTCGCGAAGAGACTTGATGAACAGGAGGCCATGCTCAAATCTCAGCAGGAGGAGGACTTAGAGGCTGAAGCTGGCCACGATGGTCTGTCAGCTGTAGGAGAAGGAGCAAGATTGGATTCATGTAGTAGTTGGATGAGAGTTTGCACTTGATCTCTGTCGTGTACGGAAGTTGGTCGCCTGAGAATTGGTCTCCACGACCATCTCGCCCCCAAGAAACTCCCTTGGGACTCAACTGAGACCTGTTTGGAGAAGGCCAGGGGATAGGCCTTGGGAAATAAGCTAGCAAGGGAGTTATCTCCTATCCGTTTGTCTTCCCAAAAGAGAATCCTAGATCCTTTACCTAGTGCCCATTTGACAGATCCAGTGAAAAATTGGTAGCAGGAGGTAACATCCTTCCAGAATTTAGAGCTATGATAAACAGGAGAGGGGTTGTGCAGGTTGGAGTAATAGATGGACCGGAGAACTTTGCCTACGTAGTTTCTATTGTTAAGGAAACTCCATAGCCATTTGGATAGGTGGGAGATGTTGAATAAGTGGAGATTGGAGACTCCAAGACCTCCACAGGCTTTAGGTGAGCAAACTGCATCCCATCTGACAGGGTGAATGGGTTTGATATTAGCATTTGTACCTCCCCATAGGAAATCACATCCGATTCTATCTATTTTTTATGAGCCAACAAGGGAGTTTGAAGAAGGACATGTAGTAAAGGGGTATGGAGGAGAGGACAGATTTGAGGAGAACCAGCCTTCCACCAATGGAAAGATATTTACTCTTCCATATAGAGAGCTTATGATGGAGAGAGTCTAGCAAAGATTGCCAATCAGCCCTAGAGAGGGATCCTCTTTTCAGGGGAAGGCCGAGGTACTTAA